CCCTATTGCCTCACATTTGTTGAGGTTGTGATATTGCTCACACCCACACTCATTTGAGTGTTGCTTGGGCTGCATCACTATGAGGGGAGATGCTGTTGGAGTGAAGTTGAAGGTTTGGAGGTTGAAGTCGAAAGGTGAAGAAGGGCAGTCATAACCATAGTTGGTAGTACCTTGTTGCAACCTAGGCTAAGTGCTGCTCTTGTGGTAGTCCTTAGGGATGAAGGTGGTGGTAGAATGAACGTGCGGCAGGCCATCCCCATGTTATGGGGTTATGCTGCTGAAATTTTGGCACAATGGAAACATCGTTTTGTGGGGAGGTGCCGCCAAAATATCGTCGTGACACCAGAGGATTATGCCGCCGGATTGACAACGCATTGACAACAAGTTGTATAAGGAAGGTGCTGCTTAAATTTTGGCAACAACATTAAGGTTTCTTTGGGAGGAAGGTGCTACCGAATTGTCGTTGCGACCTCGAGATTTTTGAAGGGGAATGCAGACGGAGGTTTTTTGGTAACGGCGTCAAGATATTTTGAGAGGAACTGCTACCGAAATTTTGCGGCACAACGAGCCCCTCATCCTTGGGTACTACTGGGTGTCCAAGGTATCAGACTTGACGGCGCAGAGAGCAGAGGTTCCACCATTTTTTTTTTTACTTAAGTGGAACAAGGAGGCTATGACACATTCCAATGTGCGTGGACCGCACACGCGTGGTGTGCTGATCGCTGAGGACTTGCGGTACTTGTCGGTTTTACGCTCAGGGCTTCCCTTATATTTTTTTTGGGAACATGCGATGCAAGTAGTTTGGCGTTTTGGCTGCGTACGGTACTCCGAACGATAGCGTGAGACCGTCAAGGACTGTTTTGATACTAGTTGGAACTAACTTGAAACTCCTAACTCTCAAACTTAAATGGTTTTGGTCTACGACACGCGTTGTTGTTTTTTTTACAGTTTGGGACTGACTGTGGACCTGGGATAGTCCCTGAAGCTTTTTGGTGTTGTTGGGACTGCATTGGGTCGGTCAGGGATATAGAGACCACGTAGGACTTACTTTGGGATCGTCCTCTTTTAGGGTTCAAGTTATCCCACTTAAATCCTTCTAGTGGGTTCAACCTCTGTGTATTTGAGTCTAATGGGGAAACAACGAACTACTTTTTAGTTGTGAGGGCTACGATTAGACAAGTTGTGAGTCATACATATTTGACTTTAGAGACGTTTCTTCTTCTACTTGATTGTGACATCGTCCGGCTTCCTTGAGTGAGTTTGCTCACACTTCACCTAAGGTCAATTTAACTCATAATTTCTTTCACAACTCTGTGAGCCCACACATACTTGACACTATTTCATTGTAAGTTATGTCAAAAGGCAAAGAAAATGTGAGTTCGGGTGAGAATGAAAAAATCTGATACATATATGGATTGTTGATTTTTTTTGTCTTTGACTGAATGCATGTGCAAGTATGAAAAATAAATGAATGAAAAACAAAGATTGTCTGCATGTGTGTGGTATCCTGAAGGGGACATTCTTTCATCCACTTTCTTGCTTGTTCATTTTTTTTGAAAATTTGTCTCATGTGAATGAGTTGAAATAATCACATAACAACGGACTCTTTCCGCCAACAAAGTGAAGAGAATTTGTATGAATCTGGTCTTCACCAGAAGGATACTCGTTCTATCCCGAATAACCTCATCAATCTATTCTCGTCTGGATGATTTTATTCTTTGCTTCCTTCGTTTTCTATTTTCGTATAAACAACCTCTTGCGAGGAAGGATGAGACGAATGACTCAATATGAAGTTAAAAACTTTTTCTTTATAGGGAGCGTATGGGGTGGGGGCTCATTGCTTTAAAAGTCGGGCCTCTTATTGATCTTGAGTGGACCATTTTATACGGGGAGGTACCTTGCCGATTTTGTGGAGACGTCATAACTTCGGAGATTGGAGTCTTGTACTTGAGCGAGGAGAAGGAGTACCCCAGACCACTTTCTAGAGGGTTGGGTGTGCGACGACTAAGGGGGACATTGAACTTTTATTAATCTCACGTAAAAGAGGGTTAAATTAGCAACCCTTAAAGGTGATCGTCTTAGGTATCACCGTTGAATGAGAGATGAACGTCTTAAGAAACCCGACCAAATGAAAAACTAGTCTTAAAGTGGATGCACGTAGGTACCACTCTCGTTTATGGGATTCGCGTCATAAAAATGCGGACCCGTGATAGATAAATGAGATGACAACGTTGTTTGGAAAAAAATATATATATAATCACAATGAAAATGAGGTTATCGAAACATGTTGATGAACTTACCCATACATCAGGCATTCAATTTTCCTGATGTTTTTTTTTTCTTCAACTGTCTGTCCGCGGGTGACCTTCGCTTTGGAAAAAATGTAAACTTGAGGTTCTTCGGTCACGTAAAAAAAACTTTGGTGGACAATCTCATCAAGTCCCAAGCAATCAAGGTCGGCTCCGCTGCAGCGTGACATTCTTTGCTATGCGGCCTGAGTCGATCCCATGCCGACTGAAGCTGGAATATATTGTTTTTTTCTAAGGATTGCATGTTTCGCAACAATATCCATTTCTGTCAGCAAAAAGGTATGCGATAGTCATAGACGATTGTCTTGCAAACTGATATTCTCTACTGGGTTGAATCTATGTGGACCAGTGTTAATTGTTGTAGTAATTCCCCTTTTGAGTTATGTGTCTAAGAGACTAAGATCATTTTATGGGTTTCACGCTTGGTTGAGACTATCCTAGTCGACCTATATTATTTCGTATTTAGATCAGCGCCTTAGGTAACGAATGACGTTCGGGTTCAGGCGACATTTTAACCATGTGTGCCTATACTGCAGCGAACGAGGAAACACCATAGGCTGACCTACCTCTGCGACTGCGTGTAAAAACTTTCGCACGTGGGTCCGTAACTCGGTAGGGATAAACCCTTAGGCGTGGTGAGAGCCCCTTAGTGGAAGGGAAGTTATGTTTGTTGCAACCTATCCTGTCGTAGGGGACCACGAGAGGTACAGCTGGCACACCCAGCTAGAGCGGTGAGGTGACAACGCGACCTTGTTCATTTTGGCGGTTTGCGGGATTACTTACGCGTTCTCCCCAAGTTGTATCTTGGATTTTTGTTTACTCTTGCGTGACGTGGCCGGGAGGGCTCTCGCCTTTTGCGAAAAAGACGAGAGTCGATGCACTCGACAACGGGATAATCTGCTTTGATGTTTGATGTGCGGTGAAAGCATGAAGTTGACCTGCTTATAGCCTATAGGGCCTGAAACGAAAAGCTCTCATCGTTGATAAAATCCGTTGGTGGCGGATGACCTCCGAAAGCAGCCGGTGACCGATGGCTGGGATGTACTTGTGTATGATGAAAGCATGAAGTAGCAGGATATTCTAAGGGCTTGGCTCCACTACCCTCCACATGCACAAAGACAAAAAATATAGTGGCGTATCTTTCCA